TTTTTTTTTTTTTTTTTTTGAGACAGGGTCTTGCTCTGTCGCCTGGACTGGAGTGCAGTGGTAAGATTTAGGCTCACTGCAACCTCTGCCTCCTGGGCTCAAGTGATCCTCCCTGCTTCAGCCTCCCAAGAAGTTGGTACTATGGGTGTGTGCCACCACACCTGGCTAATTTTTTCTTTTTTTGTATTTTTGGTAGAGAAAGTGTCTCACTACCTTGCCAAGGCTGGTCTCCAACTCCTGGGCTCAAGGATCCGCCTGCCTTGACCTCCCAAAATGCTGGGATTACAGGCATGAACCACCCCGCCTGGCCTCCAATGCCCACTTCTGTCTACCCTTTCTAAAACAACTGCAGGACTCTTTATCATATTATTACCTTTATAGCCCTTATTACTTACTTTTTTTTCTTTTTTCTTTTTGAGACAGAGTCTCACTCAGTCACCCAGGCTGGAATGCAATGGCACAATCTCTGCTCACTGCAATCTCCACCTCCTGGGTTCAAGCGATTCTCATCCTCAGCCTCCTGAGTAGCTGGAATTACAGGCAAGTGCCAGCATGCCTGTCTAATTTTTGTATTTTTAGTAGAGACAGGGTTTCACCATATTGGCCAGGCTGGTCTTCAACTCTTGACCTCAAGTGATCCTCTTGCCTCGGCCTCCCAAAGTGCTAGGATTACAGGCATGAGCCACCATGCTTGGCCATAGCTGTTATTATTTTCTAAAGACATCCTTTGTGTGTATTTCATTGTTGTCTGCTCATATCACTAGAATGTAATTCACGGGCACAGAACTTGCTGGTTCTTTTCACTACTGAACCCCCCAGTGTCCAGAACAATGTCTGATACACAGTAGGTGCTCCATAAATATTTAACTGATTAGATGAGTGAATAATCAGAACTACATGAACCTCGGCTTTATTGCCGAGGCGGGAGGATCCCTTGAGCTCGGGAGTTAAAGCTACAGTGAGCTGGGATTGCGCCACTGCACTCCAGCCTGGGTGACAGAGCGAAACCCTGTCTCAAAAAAATAATTAAATTAAATTTAAAAGTCTACAATTTTAAAAATTGGGAAGAAAAAGATTTATCATTATCATTTTTAAGACAGGGTTTTGCTCCGTTATCCAGGCTGGAGTGCAGTGGCATGACCATGGTAGATAATCTCTGAGGCTAATGTGAGCAAAACAGGACACGTATCTCAGGTCTACAGAGGGGCTGAGCCCCAATTTCCCCATCCAGGAGATGTGAATGCTGATTTGATACTGGATGGAACAGATTAATTATCATTCATTTTTGGCATTTTGTTTTTAAAAGAGTACTTGTCTTTCAGAGGTACACACTAAAATATTCACAGATGAAATACCTGTAAGCTCCCAGGAGTTGCTTAGAAATCATGTCGGAATAAGGAAAGTGTGTGAGAAATGACAGACACAGATTGGCCACGAGTTGGTATGTACTGAAGCAGAGTGAAGAGAAATGGGCGTTCATTAGACTATTCTGACTACTTTAGTGTATATCTGAAACTTTGCAGAATAAAAAATTGAAACTGGGCCAGGTGCGGTGGCTCAAGCCTGTAATCCCAGCCCTTTGGGAGGCCGAGGCGGGCAGATCACGAGGTCAGGAGATCGAGACCATCCTGGCTAACACAGTGAAACTTCATCTCTACTAAAAATACAAAAAAAAAAAA